ACTAATTTAAAAGAGAAAATTTAGTGGTTTGAAATATTTATTTATTAATAATTAATACAATATACAATTAAACTTTCAAAAAACAATATTACATAAGTAACTTAAAATTTAGAATAGTTAATATCAATATTACCCTTAATGAATTTTTATATATAATTATTAAATAATTAACATTAAAAACAAATTTTTCGTTCATAATATTAGCTTTAGATGTTATATTGGATAATTATAAATTAATAATAAACTTATCAAAAATTATATATTCTTTTTAGAAAGATAATTCTTACATATACTTGGTTGTTATCCAAGAGTATTTTTTACGCATAAAATAAAATTGAGAAATAAGAAGATATATAAACAAAAATTAAATTTGTAAGTTTGAATAATGATATTTACAAATTGATTTTTACATTAGTATGCCCGCATGAGCGGGCAACACCTAATATTAATTATGGAACATTACAACATATTTTAATAACCAGTTATTATCAAAAATACTTTTCAAAATCTTTAAAAAAAATAAATTGATTCATATTATATTATTATATTTTTTACTAAACTAATTAAAAAATTATTAGTGTACAAAAATATATACTTTCTTTTTTAAATAAAAGTTACAGAATTACCTAATATAGTTAACATATATATGATAACTATTTATTATGAGTAATATATATTTGATAACATTTTTTGTATCATTTTTTCTTTTTGTTTAATTTTATATTATTAAAAATAATTAAACAATCAGATTAATCATATGATAAAAATTAAATTTTTATATATTATATTTAAATTTTTTTGAAATGATTATAAATTACAGAAATTTGTAAAAGTCCCACATTGAAGTTTTTTTATCAATGGTTTAATTTTCTTTTTGTTCAAGCAAGATATAAATGATTATAAATGATTATAAATCATGTGAATATGAAATCTCACTAATAGATATTCATATATATATATATATCGTTTAGATTAAATTATATATTATATAGAATATATAAATATGTTCAATTCAACATTTGCAGCGAAAATTTATTTGAGATCTTAATATTTTAATTTTGAAATTGGTATTGGAATAATCTCACATTTAAAGTTTATGATTTATTTAATTTCTGTTTGAAGAAAAGATAAAAAATATTAATAAAATTATATGAGTAGAAAGTGTCAATAATAAATATATATTAAAATATATATATATATATATATATATATATATATATATATATGCCAATCAATAATGTTTAATTATATACCATATACAGTTAATAAATGGTGGTTACATGATTGTAAATTAACAAAAAAAGTATTAGTTTTGATTTATGTGCTTACTCTAATTTATATACTTTTATGTATATAAATTAATTTTTAAATATGCAGTTTCTAATATGTTATTTGATTATGACAATCTGAGAATTACATTTCTTCATATCGAAGTGGTTTTTAATATTGAAAGTACTATATATATTATATCATTTAATCAAATAATTGAGTCTTGATATTTATTTTAAAAAAATATTTTAATGAATATTATGAAAATATTCTAATTACCTCCTTTTGAGTTTATTCAAAGAATGAGAGATTTGATCATTCGTCTAATATTTATTTTTCCATATGCAATTAGAATTTATAATTTATCCAAACAAGACTAGTGATCTTAGGACTTTGAGATTTGGTTATAATCTGAACTAGGTCCGAAGATATCTGAAATTAGTATAATATGTTAATGAGTTTTTATATGTCCAAGTAATTTAGATATTTTCTTGAATTCAAAATATTGTTTGTAGTTTTTTTTTTGCTGGATATTCTTTAGTTAGTTTAGATAATTTAACTAATTTTACGAATAATTTAAATATTTTGACATCTTTTTGTCAAGTTTGAGGTTTCAAAAATATATTTTTGGACGACTTCAGATTTTGGTTACAGTCCGATCCAAACCAAATCCGGAAGGAACTGAACTGAATATGATCCAATCTTTAGTAAAACCCGATGGGATTGAAGAGCATAATACTAAAAATTTTAAAATTTGAATCAATCGAACCGAAATCAGCGGATCCCCAAACACTCATGCATATGATATATTTAGGGGTGTCAAAATAGGTAAACCAACTCAGTCCAAATGGTTATAAGCTTATATGGGTTGTGGGGTTATCTCAATCCATTTGACAAATGGATTGGATTAACCTATAACTCCTTTAGGTTAATGAGTTAATGGTTTTAATGGTTTATCCATGAGTAATAATGCTATAATTTAAATGTTTATTAAATTCTTTTTTTTCAAACACCAAATGGTTATTAACTAAAAACAATATTTTGGAGACTAAAAATAAAAATATTGCTTAGCTTTTGGAAAAACGTGATTATGATATTGATGGAAAATATATTTTTTCTATTTGGTGGGAATTGGGAAAGCACAATTTTAGAGTTTTGAAAGAAAACATGATTTTATGATTTTGATAGAAAATGTGAGTTTGCCGTTTTAGCGGGAAAATATGATTTTGCGATTTTGGCGAGAAGCATGATTATATGATTTCGGCGGAAAAATTGATTTTGCGGTTTTGGAGAGAAAACACGATTTTTTCAATTTTGACAAGAAAACTCAAATTTACAATTTTGGTGGAAAACTCGATTTTACAGTTTTGAGGAAAAAAACACGATTTTGCGGTTTTGGCGGAAAACAAAATTCTGAAATTCTGGTGAGAAAATTCAAATTTACGGTTTTGGCAGGAAAGCTCAATTTTATGGTTTTGACGAGAAAATTAAAGCTTACGGTTTTGGCGGGAAAATACGAATTCACAATTTTAGGAAAAAAATTGATTTTGCGGTTTTGGCAGAAAACACGATATTGTACTTTTGGCAGGAAAACACGATTTTGAAATTTTAGCAAAAAAACACGATTTAGATAAATGAAAAAATAAATAAAAACTTGATTTAGTAAAACGAGTTTAAAATTTTACTTTGGATTCTTTTATCTATCTATTTGATTCGAATTTATCTTGGTTATAAACTTTTGTTTGTTTGGTATAGATAACTCATAATCCATTACAATCCAAACCATTTTAACTCAATCTAATAAGTTCATCAACCTATTTTATCCATTAATTCATTTGTATCTAATTTTTCTATCCATTAAGATTCATTGTTTGGATCGACCCATTAATTTTTATCTATTTTGACATCCCTAGATATATATATAAAAGACTAACATTTATATTTGTCATTTTACAATCGATAAAAATTATAGTATTAAAAAATGTTAAAACCAAACAAACATTAATATAAATAATTCATTTTGCGCATGTGTGCATATTATCGAATGTACTAGTAAATAGTATATAAAAATAATAATGGGCGGACAAAAGAATCTAAAATAATTGATATCGTACGAAAATCAAATTATTTTGGCTATGTTCATTTTTATATTTAAAGTAACATCTATATGCAGCATTGGGATACAATATTCAGATATGCATCTAACTAATGTTCGTTTTAATTAGTTTGTATTTTTTGACCCAAAAAAAGTTTGTATTTATATCCAAATACACTATGTAATGTACAAAGTGGTTTGTTTTATTTTATAACTAGGTGTTTTGCCCGCACATGCGGGCATAATTTTCGTACAATTTATTATTAATTTATATTTTATTAATTCAAGCTAATATAATAAGTTATGATTTATGTTTTAAAGTTAATTATAAATGACAACATGCACGTAACAAAATATTTTTAAAATGTATTTTTACAAATGTGTTGCTTTAATTTATTTTAATTATAATTTTTTCTATCTTAGTTTTTTATTTCTATAATAAAAATATATTTTCAAGATAACAATATAATGCATAAGAAGTATCTTTTTGAATAAATTAATTTTTATATTTGTGATCTTTTCTAATCGTATTTGTGTTTAATATTAATTTAATTTAATACAAATTCTGGTAATTATATTAAACATGTTAAGTTGTATTACTATACATTGAAGCCATATGTATTTCAGAAATTATTTTTAAATTTTGTTCTTAAAGTTTGCAATATATTACATTTTCTTAGTACTAACCCAATTATAATAGTTATAATTGTTGATAAAAATAAAACTTACGTAGGTTTAATATAAAAATATATATAATTGTCGGACTACATAGACTCCCTCCGTTTCACTTTATTTGTCATTCTAGGTTTTTACACACTGATTAAGGAAATATTTAATTTTACATATTTCCAAGATAAAAACACAATTACCTATACACCTAACCACTTTTCAACCAATAGAAAAATAGAATATTATATAAAACTAATAAATTTTGTCTTGAAACTCTAAAACGACACTTAATTTGTGACAAAAAAATAAGCCTAGAATGACATGTATAATGAAACGGAGGGAATATATATCAATAGGTCATAAATCATCATGTTTTAATAGAATTGGTGTTGGAGATTGTTTCAGTGTTTTCCCCTAATTGTTTTCTGTGTCATGATCATGATTTAATATAATAGATGTTGGGGATTGTTTCAGTGTTTTTTTCCTAATTGTTTTTTATTTCATCCAGTTTTTTTTTCACTTTTTCGGTAAAAGACTATAACTTTTGTTTTGTTTTTTTCCCCCAAAAATACTCACATTTCCAACGGTAAGTTATTTGTCAATATAAAATTTTTTACAGTTTGACAAAAAATAAAAATTAAAAACCACGTCTCCCCATGCATGATCTTATTTTTATTTTTTTGTAAAATCCCATGCATGATCTTATCACATGAAAGATTGTAACATTTATTGAATGCTGACCCCCTGCAACTTCTTGCAATAAATGAAGTTGTTCGTTCGGTGAAATTATTATTATCATAAAGACAAAAGCTTGTCATATGGATATAATAATCATTAATCAACAAACCAAACTAAGTAGTTTTCGTCGTCTCCCTTCCCAGTAAATTCCCACCATCCAAATTATACCAAAGCTCAAATGTGAAACAGAAAGAACAAGAAGTCGAAGATTATACCCAATCTTTCATCGATGGCAGATCTTGTTCCCGCCAGTTTCTTGACACAAGCCAACGCGCTGTCTAGGAAAAACTTAGCCTATCAGGTATGATTAAAACATGCATGTGTTGATAGATAGTTAGATACTAACCCTTTTGCAAAATGAGTTGTGTAAACATATTAAAAAAAAAAAAGAGTTGTGTAAACATATGTGCATGTGTGTGTGTTGTAGAGACGAAACCTATGGAGCAACGTGCGTCTTATCGTGATCCCCTTGTACCTCTGCGTGCTTCTAGTGAGTATTCAAGCTTTGTTCGATGCACAGGTTACTAACTCTCCTGATAATCGATGCGGTTGTCAATGCACTGATGACCAAAGCGGAGATGGTAAATGCGATAAAAAGAGTTGCGGAGTAGCATATTCATCTCAGAAACAAGCAATGTTTTGCGCCTTCCCAAACCCTCCACCGCTGCCTCCTTTGTTACAGATTCCACGTCCCAAAACTCCTTCAGCCTCGTGCACAAGACTAACCGGATCTTGTCCTGTAACTGTATTTGTTACTGGGAATAACCTTTCCCTTGGACCAGCTTTATCTAGGAGTCTTCTCACTACTTCTTTCATGGTGAACTCCTCTGTATCCTGGTTGCGTAATCCAGCCATTACTGTCTTGGTAGGTTGTAAGCTTGTTTCCGTTACCATCAAGTTTCATTTTTTACTCAAAGCTGGACTTTGTTAATTAATGAATAAGGTCCACCATGGATAGTTGGAGAAATAACTTACTAATATATAAAAGGGATAGGATAAATTCACTTAACACCGATTAGTTTTAATTTGGAAGTCCATGATAAATCCAAGGTTAATAGACTTATCATGAATTCAGGGCACAACATCAGAGCCGGACTTGACCAACTATTTTGATCCAGGGATTCACTCTAATCTTCCCATATTCAACATCCAACCTCAATGCACTCCAAGAACCACATTTTCATTCTCTACCGGACAATCTCCTCAAAAGTTTAAGAAAGGTAAATATATTATAAAATATCAATGAATACGTTTGAGTGAATATATACATATGTATGTAAGACAATTCCATGTTCCAGATCTGTGTCCATTAACTTAATGGTTGTGTTGGTTCTTAAGTAGAGGTGAGATGCGTTCAAGGGTTGAGTCTCTGGCGTAATAACTCCATAGACGTCAGTCATGAGATCTTAAAGGGATATCATGAGGATGTTATCAATGATGTTGCTGCAGGTAATTATTATTCCTAATTAGCATTTGTCTCTGTGTTTACACTGCATTTTCTGACTCTTTCTCTATATTTCTATTTGTTTCTTTCATTAGCATACGATCTCTTGGATACGGATACAAACAAATTCAATGTGACCATCTGGTATAACTCTACATCCAAGACAAAGTTACTCGAGAGGCGTGTAAAGCTTGTCCGAGTTCCTCGCTCAGTCAACTTAGTAAGAAACCCAAGTGTTTTATGCAATAAATCCTCGAGCTTTTTTAATACTTATGACAGGTCTCTTGACCAAACCCAATTCTTGCAGATTTCAAATGCTTATCTTCAGTATGTGAACGGGCCAGGGACAAAGATACTATTTGAGTTTATCAAAGAAATGCCTAAAGTAGAAACTTTGCTTCGTGTGGACGTTGCATCTTCCATTGGTCCCGTTTTCTTCACATGGGTTATTCTTCTGCTGTTCCCTGTAAGTTGGACAGTATGATCTTACAAAGCCTGTCATGGGATTTAAATAGTTAAATACATGCATTCAAATTTGCAGGTGATCTTGAACACATTGGTCTATGAGAAGCAGCAGCGTCTAAGAATCATAATGAAAATGCATGGGCTAGGAGATGGTCCGTATTGGATGATTTCCTACGCATATTTTCTCACCATATCCACGCTATATATCATATGCTTGATGATGTTTGGGTCACTAATAGGTACTGAATCATTGCCATATCTACTTTAGAACAAGTTTTCTTCTATGGGATTATTATAGCAGCTATAGTTACCTACTTACCTGTAGGATTGAAGTTCTTCAAGCTTAATGACTACAGCATCCAGTTTATTTTCTATTTCATCTACATAAATCTGCAAATCTCCATTGCTTTCCTAGTATCCTCAGCATTTTCAAAAGTTAAGACATCATCAGGTACTAACTAAATGTCCCACTATCTAAAGACATCTGCTCATAAAACATGTTGGTGTTGCTAAGTTACAGAAGCACTTTCTGTCTTATGCACCAACTGTAGTTGCTGCTTACATATACGTCTTTGGATCTGGGCTATTGGGCGTGTTTCTCTTCCAGTTTCTTATGGAAGATTCATCGTTTCCCAGTAAGCTATATCAATAACAGCTTCAAGAACACATTCTCTCAAAACTGAGCACAATGCTAATGTATGATCTTTTACATTTTTTTTGTCCAGGACGCTGGATTTTAGTAATGGAGGTGTATCCAGGGTTCTCTTTATACCGTGGGTTGTATGAGTTCTCCGAGTATGCCCTTGACAAGAGGGATATGGGGATGAAGTGGGAAGACTTCAGTGATGGTGGAATGGATGAAGTTTTCTACATCATGATCGTTGAGTGGCTTGTCTCACTCATTGCAGCATACTATCTTGATAAGATGTCTTCATCCGGAAAAGACCCATTGTTCTTCTTGAAAAATCCTTTCAAGTTTATGCCAAGGCATAGTCTGGGCTCTGAAGTTTCTGTAGAAATGGAGAAGCTAGATGTAGCCCAGGAGGTTTGTCAACAAAGGATAAAACAGTATAATACATGTTCTTTGCATTTTTCGATTAAAATTAAATTTTGTTTTCTAATCAGAGAGAAAAAGTTGAGCAGTTGATGCTTGAGCCGACCACAAGATATGCTATTGTATGTGACAACCTGAAGAAAATGTATCAAGGGAGGGATGGGAACCAGCCTAAAATAGCAGTTCATGGGTTATCTCTCGCAGTACCTTCAGGCGAATGCTTTGGCATGTTAGGACCCAACGGTGCGGGCAAGACCTCCTTCATAAATATGGTCAGTACATAAAATGGGACAAGAAAAATCTTTTGTACTTATCTTCTGATTGAGAAAAACTCTTGCTTAGATGACCGGGCTTGTGAAACCAACATCTGGGGCAGCTTTTGTTAGAGGTTTAGACATATGCAAGGATATGGATAGAGCATACACCAGCATGGGTGTATGCCCACAACACGAGTAACTGACTCTCTAAAAAAATAAAAATCTAGAAAACCATTATATTGTTCTTCACCATTCGTTCTCTTTTTGTCTTTTTGTGTACACCAGTTTGCTTTGGGAGACTCTGACAGGAAGGGAACATCTGCTCTTTTATGGGAGACTTAAGAACCTCAAAGGCTCTGATCTCAACCAAGTATGTTACTAGTAGTTTACGTCTCTATCTTTTTTTTATTTATGAAAAGTCTTAATGTATCAAAACATTAATCCATGCATGTTAGGCTGTAGAAGAGTCTCTTAAAAGTGTGAACCTATTCCGCGGAGGAGTTGGAGATAAACCTGCTGGAAAATACAGCGGAGGTATGAAAAGACGACTAAGTGTAGCCATTTCACTTATTGGGTGTCCTAAGGTACACGGCATTGTCTCTCTTTATACATCTCCTGATGACAATCTTTAACAAATCTATTTTCATATAATGTTTTTTTTTTCTTTTTTACAAAAGGTGGTTTATATGGATGAGCCAAGCACAGGGCTTGATCCAGCTTCAAGAATAAACCTATGGACAGTCATTAAACGCGCAAAAACAAACACTGCCATAATCCTCACTACTCACTCAATGGAAGAAGCAGAGTTTCTTTGTGACCGCTTGGGAATTTTTGTAGATGGAAGGTTACAATGTATAGGAAACCCAAAAGAGCTAAAGGGAAGATACGGTGGATCTTATGTGTTTACCATGACAACATCATCAGACCATGAGAAAGATGTGGAGATGTTAGTTAAAGATGTTTCTCCAAACGCCAAAAAGATATATCATATTGGAGGAACACAGAAATTTGAGATCCCAAAGGGGGAAGTTCGAATCTCGGAAGTGTTTCAGGCGGTGGAGAAGGCAAAGAGCAGTTTCAAAGTGTTTGCTTGGGGACTTGCGGACACAACTCTTGAAGATGTCTTCATTAAGGTTGCTAGAACTGCTCAGGCCTTTAATGTCTTCTCTTGAATCCTCTTAATAGTAGCATAATTGTCTGTTCAAATTAAATATTTACTTGTTCTCGTTTGATAAAGTTGGTCATGTAGAGGTTTAACGTATGTACATTATTGAAAATTCGCCGCAAGTAATATATGGTTTTCTTTGAAGTTCCTAAAACTTTTTAATTTGTGGGTGATTTATGCAAAACAATTTTGGCTGGCATGTGAATATATAATTATGCTATATGGAATGGACTTATGAAGCGGAAACGTCACAGAAAAGTTATGGACAACCAGTTTAACGAAAACTCAAACCAGCTTACATGTGTTGAGACTGCATCTTTAAGCAAGACACGACAGAGTGTTTGTCACAGCATTGTTTGACTTGTGGCACTTGACGCTAACGATAGCCATTGTTCCAAGGAACAGGCCCTCCTACAGTGTCAACTAAATCATGTGCCACTATCTTCGAGATTCGTGAGATACTTTTATTGTTCTATCATATCATCATGTTTCCCCCATAATCTTATATATGCTAACTCATTTTACACAAATGCTGTTGAAGAATTTATTAGTCGTGTTCCTGAGATCACTCCTTTCGTGGCTTATACTTCAAGTTTAATTGCGTAAACCACTTACAAATATTCGCAAGTTGAAATAAAGGCTTGTTGTATGGATCTTATTGTGAATTCACAAGGTCACTAAACGAGATTACCTAAGAAGGTACGATCAATGGCGTCGAATCCTATGCCCGCCAGCTTCTTGACGAGGGCCAATGCCTTGTTCAGAAAGAACTTAACCTTTCAGGTTTGACCAATCAAAATATACAATACATGTGTTATATCATATATTAAACATATCTTGATGATACTATTATATCCATTGGTCTAGAAACGAAACATATGGAGCAATGTTCGGCTCATCGTGATCCCTTTGTACCTCTGCCTAGTTCTTGTGGCCATTCAAGCTCTGTTCAACACACAGGTCATTAACTCTGTGGATAATCGATGCGGTTGCAAATGCATTGACGAAAACAATGGAGATGGTAAATGCGAAAGGAAGAGTTGCGGTGCAGAATATTCATCTCCAAACCAAGCCTTCTTTTGTGCTTTCCCCAACCCTCCACCATTACCTCCATTGTTACATATCCCGAGTTCCGTACTTGATAGTAACTTGTGCAGCCTAACCACCGGATCTTGTCATGTGAAAATACTTGTTACTGGAAGTAATCATACCCTTGGAGCAAGTATATAAATGCCTCTTAATTTAGTTAAATCATTTCCATAACCATATTCTACAATATTGTTTCTTCTCTCCTCTCAAAACTAATCTTCAATTTGTAGCTATATCTCAGAATCTGCTGCCTACTTATTTCGCGGTTAACTCCTCCGAGGATTTCTTTCCTATGCTAGCATATAATGCCTTGGCAAGTTCTGAGATTCTAGTTGTTTTCCACTGTAAACTACTCTCTTATCTTGGCTTTTCTAACAACAATGAATATATATTTAGGGTACAACATCAGAGGTAGCCTACACCAATTATTTCGATCCAGGGATTCACTCAGATGCTCCAATCTTCAACATCCAACGTCGATGCGCTCCAAACACTACATTATCATCATTCTCCTTCCGACAACCACCTCTTGAGTTTCATAAAGGTATATTCATAAAAAAGATATCTAGTAGTTCTAAACGCATGGTGCAAGAAAACCCTTAGTATATATATAGTGAAGCTTCATTTTGCAATACAAGTTTCAGTTAAATCTAACTGCATTCCATGTTTCAAGTTAATTTGTTTAACGGTTAATGTTTCTTCTCAATCTTCTAGCTGACTGACTTAATGTTTGATGTGTCAAAGCAGAGCAAAGATGTGTTCGAGGATTGAATCAATGGAGGAACAACTCCATTGAGGTCAACCATGAAATCTTCAAGGGATATCAGAAGAAAAATCTGCGGATTGCAGGTTATTCCACTTCTTTATCATCTGTTTATGTGTTTACCTGCACTATTCTTACTCTTTTTGTTTGTGCTTTAATTAGCATACGATCTCTTGGACACCAATAGAAACCACTTCAATGTGACTATATGGTACAACTCTAAATACAAATTTGACCTAAATGATAGGCGTGTCAAGTTTGTCCGAGTTCCTCGCTCAGTCAACTTGGTAAAGTGTTGTATTCAAGATATTAATCATTTTTATTATGCATATGATGTCTCTTGATCAAACCCATTCATATATTCTGCAACAAAATTTCAGGTTTCAAATGCTTATCTTCAGTTCTTGCAAGGCCCAGGGACAAAAATTTTATTCGATTTTGTGAAAGAAATGCCCAAACAAGAAACTAGGCTTCGACTGGACGTGGCATCTCTCATTGGTCCCCTTTTCTTCACATGGGCTATTCTTCTTCTGTTCCCAGTAAGTTTGTTTCTAAGTATTATTCATCTCAAGACTTGATGATCTCTTAATCTATGTATTTTTCCTTCGTGATCAAAACCATTGTTAGGATTTAGTGCTAGCACAGAGGTTGTATAAAACTAAACTTCTGCCTCATTCCACATTCTACACTCAGATAAAACAAAGTGATTGTAAAAGGAAAAATCGTCAGCAAGCATATCATGGGATTTCACTGGTTACATTAATTTGTATGCAGGTGATCTTGACCTCGTTGGTGTATGAGAAGCAGCAGCGTCTGAGAATTATAATGAAAATGCACGGCCTAGGAGATGGTCCATACTGGATGATATCCTACGTATATTTTCTCATCATATCCACATTATACATTATAAGCTTGATGATATTTGGATCAGCAATAGGTACTATATCTTTGTTATTATATTTATATATACAGAGAACAATTTTCAGAGCTTTAGTTTCTTGCAGGACTGAAGTTCTTCCTGTTTAATGACTACAGCTTCCAATTCATTTTCTATTTTCTCTGTATAAATCTGCAAATCTCCATTGCCTTTCTAGTTTCCTCAGCATTTTCAAAAGTTGAGACTGCATCAGGTACTAGAGTCAATTTATATTCTTTCAAATTTTCTCAGTAACATGTTGGTGCTATAAGAAACACATTTCTCTTTTTTTTGTTTTATGCTCAAATTGTAGTTGGTTCTTACATGCACGTCTTTGGATCTGGGCTCTTGGGTGCATTTCTCTTCCAGTTTCTGCTTGAAGATGTATCATTTCCCAGTAAGCTATTAAAATAATATATATTATCCCAAACTGACCAAAATACTAACATGATCATTAAATACATTTCCAGGAAGCTGGATTTTTGTCATGGAGTTGTATCCAGGCTTCTCTTTATACCGTGGCTTGTACGAGTTCTCCACATACTCTTTTCAGAAAAACCTGAATGGTAGAGATGGAATGAAGTGGAAAGATTTCACTAGCAGTGCAATGGATGAAGTTTTCTTCATCATTATCGTTGAGTGGTTTATGGCGCTCACTGCAACATACTATATTGATAGGGGTTCTTTATCCGTGAAAGGCTCCTTTTTATTCTTGAGGATCCCTTTCAAGAAATCTCCTTCTCCACAAAAGACTACTCTGTCCATGCAGAGCTCTTCAGTTACCGTGGAAATGGAGAAACTAGATGTCACTCAAGAGGTCTTACAACAATGATTTAACAATATCTTCCATGTTCTTAATTTTCAATTTATAGCCGTTTTGAGCAGTAAAACTTTTTGTTCCAATCAGAGAGAAAAAGTTGAGAAATTGATGCTTGAGACGAGCACAAGCCATGCAATCATATGTGACAACCTGAAAAAAGTTTATCCACGTAGGGATGGGAACTCGCCAAAAATGGCTGTTCGAGGTTTGTCTCTTGCAGTAGATTCAAAGGAATGCTTTGGCATGTTAGGTCCCAATGGTGCTGGAAAGACGTCTTTCATCAACACGGTCAGTGCCCATTCTTATGAGAAATTCTAAGTGAAAAATTATATCTAACATAGTCTTAAATATTAGAAGTTGTATACTTTTCTTTTCTTCCAGATGACTGGACTTATGAAACCAACATCAGGCGCAGCGTTTGTTCAAGGTTTGGACATATGCAAGGATATGGATAAAGTGTACACAACCATGGGTGTATGCCCACAGCACGAGTAATTACTCAAATTCCTGAGAACATTTTATTTTGTTGAACTAATATTACAAAAAGAAAACTATTGTTAAGTTTGATAGTGAGTATATTGGTATGTATCCCTTATATATTATTTTGGAAGTTATCTCAACTATGATGTGTATCAGCTTGCTATGGGAGACACTGACCGGAAGAGAACATCTCGTGTTTTACGGAAGACTTAAAAATCTTAAAGGCTCTGAGCTCAACCAAGTATGTTATATCAATATTACTTTCCCATCTATATAACTCTAGAGGTACCAACCCATGGAACATTTCATGCTTATCAGGTTGTAGAGGAGTCTCTTAAGAGTGTCAACCTTTTTTATGGGGGAGTTGGTGATAAACCTGCTGGAAAATACAGCGGAGGCATGAAAAGACGGCTAAGTGTAGCTATTTCACTTATTGGGAGTCCTAAGGTATGTACTTATTTGGCTTACTCGCTTTCGAAATAGTTACCAAACTATAAAGGGTATGCTTTAACAACTATTACTTCATTTGGTCATTCTTTCAAAAGGTTGTTTATATGGATGAGCCAAGCACAGGACTTGATCCAGCTTCAAGACTGAACTTATGGACAGTCATCAAACGTGCAAAAAAAAACACTGCCATAATCCTCACTACTCACTCAATGGAAGAAGCAGAGTTTCTTTGTGACCGATTGGGAATTTTTGTAGATGGAAGGTTACAATGCATAGGGCACCCAAAAGAGCTAAAAGGAAGATATGGTGGACCGTATGTGTTTACGATGACAACCTCTTCAGACCATGAGCAAAATGTGGAGATGTTGGTTCGAGATTTGTCTCCAAACGCCAAGAAGATATATCATATCGCAGGGACACAGAAATTTGAGATTCCAAAAGAAGAAGTTCGTATCTCAGAAGTGTTTCAGGCTGCGGAGAAGGCAAAAAGCAGTTTCAAAGTGTTTGCTTGGGGACTTGCGGACACAACTCTTGAAGATGTCTTTATTAAGGTTGCTAGAGGTGCTCAGGACTTTAATGTACTTTAATTTCTTGGTTAATCTTGTTACAGCTTATATATCTCGGGTTTATTCTGGTTTGTAAAATTGTATTTGGTTTACTATCACTTGTGTGTGTATAAGCTGTAAAAGCGGGAAAATCGAATTGACATATAAATAAAAACGATGTTAAAAAATAAACGATCGGAAAGACCAATAAAAAACGATTTAGAATATAGACTATGGAGTCAAGACGTATATCTTTCTTTAATTCTTAATATTTTCGCTGTAGTGAAACATACATGTACGAATTAGAATTCTAGGATACAACCATAATAGACGATTCGCGCTTTACTCGTCGTCTCGACGAACAAACTTACTCTGGGAAGAATTGTTGGTTTCGCTTGTGAAAAAACGTTAAAGAATGAAGAAGAAGAGTTGGGTTTATTTAACGAGAAGGAGGAGAGTAACTTCCCGCAACAGCTACTGCATATGAGCGGAAATCTCATGGAATTCGGGAAAAGTAAGTTATGAAACTTTCTCCCCAAGATCTCCTTACATTTGAAATAAATATCTTGGACAAACAGATGAAACGCGTATTGTTTTTGAGACAAATTATGCAGAGTTTTGACACAAACAACATGCTGTATTTTAGAATTTAAATGGAAAAATATTGAGCTTAATTAACTTAATCCAAAAAGATTCTTTTTGTTGAACTGGAGGTTCTCCACCAAGCTCCAAACCCAAATCCCAGCCCAAGCCAAGTTGAGCCGACCGGACAGCAGCGGCGGCACGCGCATGGGGTGTTCTCTCTTCCACTGAACTGTTTAACCTATGGTATTATGGGAACATATATATACAACTCTATTTCTTCCTTCTCAACCTATGTGGGACAAATCACTTACTAAATGACTTGATTTGTTGGGCTTAGTAACAATTACCCAAAGTCACTTCTTATTCACATTCAAATAAAGCCATTGGACTTTATTATTTGATCCAACAATTCCTAACATAAATAGAAATGACTCTAAACATATGCAGACTTAATAGACTCTACAAAAATGACTTATTCAAATCTTGACAAGATTAGCAGACTTATCAAAAGCGTTTACAAAAATTCACTATGTTTGAGTTGGTGGCATTTTTAAGCCTTCAACCACTCATAGTTAATATTTGTCGGATTTACTTTACCAGAAGGTGAACATGATGTCTTGAACCAACCGGTGTTTTATGTAGACCGAGACAACATGCATAATGCATCTTCATTGTGGCCCCGAACTGTTTATGGTTTTCATGAGTGAACTTAGAGAATATAGCCATGCATTCATTCTCCTAGAAACGACGTCATTTCACACTCACTAGGTGATTGACCATGAAAAGTATTGAGTAATACTTTGTTTCAGAAGCTATGGAATCATTAAAAGGTTATGCATATCCTTCTCGCATTTGTTAGCACTTTTATCATCTTAGTAGCTGGGATGAGACTATTCTGTCTCAAGTGCTTTTGTTAGATTATGTTTGATTTTGTTTTCTCTTTGAACCTTCGTCTTGGGATCTTTGGGCAGGATAGGTAGGGTTGCAATCAAACATCTTCATTTGTAATAAATAGGCTTTAAACCCATTATTTTTGATGATTTAGCAACAATATCTCGTGGCAAACCCTTAATGAATGGATCCGCTAGGTTGTCAGCTGATTTGATGTAGTCTATTGTGATTACACCAGTTGAGATAAGTTGTCTAATGGTTTTATGTCGTCTTCTGATGTGATGATATTTACCATTGTAGATATTATTCTGAGCCCGACCTATAGCTAATTGACTATCACAATGTATGTGTATAGCTGGCACATATTTCTCTCACATAGGAATATCTTTCAAAAAATTTCTAAGCCATTCATCTTCTTCTGCTTCTTTATTTAATGCTATGAATTCAGATTCCATGGTGGATCTAGCTAGAACTGTTTGTTTGGTAGATTTCCATGATATTGCTGCTCCTCCTAATGTAAAGACAAATCCACTTGTGGATTTTGAGTTTTTAGAAATTGATATCAAGTTAGCATCACTGTATCCTTCTAAAACTGATGGTTCTTCACCATAGTGAAGTCCAAAATATTTTCTGTAGCACAAATAATTGAGTACTCTCGTTATAGCTTTCTAGTGTGTATGACATGTATTACTTGTATATCTACTAAGTACATTTACTGCATACGCTAGATTTGGTCTTGTACAATTTGTCAAATACATGAGACTTTTGATCACACGTGCATACTCGTTTTGTGAACCGCTTCACCTGAATTCTTTGTCAAGTGCATTTGGGGATCTAACAAAGTTTTTTCCGTACTATTAGAGTAGTTTTTAAATCTCTCTAATATTGTTGGAGCATAATGAGATTGGGTTAATGTAATTATGTTTGAATTTCTTGTGACTTTAACCCCGAGAATTACATCTGCTAATCCCAAGTCTTTCATCTCAAATTTCTCTTTAAACATATTCTTTGTTTGATTGATAATATATTTTTTGCTTCCAATAATAAGCATATCATCTACATATAGACATAGAAAAACATACGCATTTTGGTAGTTTTCTAGTATATGCATTTGTCATATTCATTAATTTTAAAACCATTTGAAATCATTGTATTGTCAAATTTTTCGTGCCATTGTTTAGGAATTTGTTTAAACCCATAGTGACTTTACAAGTCGATATACTTTGTCTTCATGTCTAGGAATGACAAAACCCTCACGTTGTTTCATGTAAATTTCCTCTTCTAAATCACTATTTAGAAAAGCGGTTTTTACATCCATCTGATGGATTTCTAGGTATCTGAAGGCTGCGATTGCTATCACCAGTCTTGTTGATGTTATTCTCGTTACTGTAGAATATGTATCATAATAATCAAGGCCTTCTTTATGTCGGAATCCTTGTACTACAAGTCTAGATTTGTATTTTACACCTGGTTTTCGTGTCATTATCTATTTATTCCTAATGTTTTGCAACCAGGTGGTAAATCCGTTATGTACCATGTATAATTTTGCATGATATAATCAAATTCACTTCTGACACCTTCATTTCAAAATGGAGTTTCTGGTGAAACCATGGCTTCTGCCAAAGTTTTTGGAACATTTTGTCCTAAAATGCCATTAAGAAATCTTTACCAAAAGATTTTTTCTTTCGAGCTCTTTTGCTCATTCTAGGTTCATTTTTTTCATTTTTGAAATATTATTTATAGAAATTTCTACATTTATATCAGTTTCTGAAACATTGTCGTCTCTTTCTTCTTGAGTTCCTTTCGAACCTTGTTTTTCCTTGCAAGAAAAAATATTTTCAAAGAAAGATGCATTTCTTGATTCCATTACCGTATTTTCATGAATATCTGATATTTAAGATTTATGTACGAGAAATCGATATGCACTACTACTATGTGCATATCCGATGAAAATGCAATCCACTGTTTTAGGTCTAATAGTGATTTTTTTTGTGTCGGTACTGCAACTTTTGCCAAGAACCCCCACAGTTTGAGGAATTTATACGATGGTAAGTGACCTTT